TAGGAATGGCCTCGGTCGGCCCGTGCTCGCAACCAGCCCAATTTTTGGCTGTTTTTATTTATTTATTTATTTATTTCTGATTTTTTCTTCTGCGAGAAGATGGAGATACTAATGGGATGGGTTTTGAATTTGATTTTGTTTCGAATGGCGTTTGATTATAAGGAAATTTGAGTGGGTAATTTAGAGGGTTTTGGGTTTTTTTTTTAATTTAGGGGTTTTTTTTATGGTGAAAGCCAAGCCAGGTGAGTCCACAGCTTTGTGCTGGGAAAAGAGACGACGCAGAGGAGGAAAAATGGCGACGGAGATGAGACGTGGACGTATCTGATTGGTTGGCGTTAAATGCCGAGAGCTTTTTATATCAGGATCTTTTTAATTTATTTTAATTTAATGGTTTGATTAAGAGGTAGTGTTTCAAACTTTCAAGACTTATGAAATTGAATCAATCATGATTTATATTTTACATATATATATAATAATTAAAAATAAATAAATAAATAAATAAATCTTGCATTATTCAGTCCCTCAGTAGCTTATTAAAATTTAAATTGGCGACTAGAATCATCAAATCTGGAAATTGTAACCAATTTAATCCAACTTTTGAATTCAACCCCCCAAAAATAATAATAACAATAATAATAATAATATAATAATAATAATATTAATCATAATAATAATAATAATAATTCAAACCATGAACATTTGAGTAATTCAACAAAAAATCATCCAAACAGCCAAAAATGGTACTGACTCCAACAATTGCTCAAATCACCACACAACCAAAACCGAGTTTTAATCGTTACGGACAAGTTTGGACAAGTCGAGCTTTCGGAAAAAATGTTACGTGCCAAAGCTACGGTCACCAGCATCCCCGAGTCCCGGGATTATGAACCTGAAATACAATTTAAGAAAGATTCAAGAAAATGATTTATTTATTTACTTATTTGTAGTTTGTGCAGTTTCTAAAGCAGCAAATTATCGGTAAGTTCTCATTTATTCAGTAGCTTTTTACCCTTTGTCATTAACAGTAGGGTCGATAATTCCAGCATATACATGAAGCCTGACAAACAATAACACAACATTATTTATAATAACCAAATACGCAAAACATTATAACTTCTTGTGTGAGGTGGCCTAACTGTTAGACGACTCGACCAATCATACCTTTTTAATAAAAAATATCCATGCTTATTTCTGGATTCAAAATAGAAACTGAACGTTATTTGATGACAGATAATTACCCGGGAAATTTCTCGCTCAACTTCTGAAGTGCAGGAGGAGCAGCAACAGCACAAACCTGAAAATTATAATTAAAAATGAAAAAAAAAAAAAGAGGTAGTAAGAACTTAGCAAGAACATATAATCACGAAACATATCCCGATAAAACCAAAATATTACGGAGAAGTCCTCTTCACAAACGAATTTGAATAAAGAAACTGACCACTTTAATTTGCTTGTTGTCATCAACCCCTCGATCTTTTATCAGTTGAATAGCTTCCACCACTGTACCACCTTCAAAAAAATTTAAGTGTATATAACATTTTTAAGCCAAAATTTACAATTTTCCGTTTCGAATTATCGTCGCGTGTGGAGTTTAAACTCAAAATATTTACCTGTTGCAAGCATGGGGTCCACAACAAATACTCGAGCATCTTTGGGGAATTCTTTGGGCAATCTATGGTGAATTAAAATGTTCCATTAGGTTTATACGACCCCGTTAATGTATTTGCAATGCATTCTTACTTGTTCAGATATACAGTCGGCTGAAGTGTTTCTTCATCCCTGCTAATCCCTAGCAAACGGAAAGAATTCAAAACAAAAAATCAATTTTAAATAGCTCAATCAAGAATACAAAATCAATGGACTTAAAAGAATCTACTGTTTGTGTACACTTCAATACAAGAATGGTGATACTGAAACTTATGGAAAATGGGTGCTAATAAGTTCATTTTGAAATTTTCCAAAAATCTCTATATTATCCGATATACCTAAATGGTACGTGCTTGTTGCTGGAAGAACAGAAGATACATTCTCGGCAAGAGCAAGGCCAGCTCTCAGTATGGGAACAATCTGCAGATCGAGACAATAATAACCAACAAAAGTCCAACATAAAAATCATCGCCAAGGTCCATAATGTATAAAAGATAAGTATAAGGAAAAAAAAAAAAATGGTTCTACCCTATGGGAATTGGGAAGCAATTTGCTACTATTTTCGAACGTGTTTGAGAAGACCATAATGGCCTCCGTTCAATGTGAAATCTTGGTATGAACTATGAAGATGATGATATGAACAATTAATCACCCCGACCGATCCAAACAAAAAAAAAATGATTCCTTCATCTATTAATCAGTAAATGATTTGGGATTATAGACAATAATAAAATTATGAGCTAAAGACAGTAGATGATCATTATTCAACAATAATGTAAATGTTCACATTCTGTAGCATGGGATCTATATTTCACATGTAAATCTGGTGCACTACCAAAATAAAAGTACAACATTGCTTCTTCATTTTGATCCTTGGTTAGGAAAAGTGTCAGCACATATGAGCTGAGTAATAAGATTGAAGAAAATCTTCGTTTTTTTCTCCTTTTCACCTAATTCAGTAAAAAAGATTGAACTATATAATAAATAAATTTCCAAAAAGTTGTATTGAACTTTTAGAAGTTCTTAGAACTATTTCATCGATATTAACATAATAGAACCTCTCGATCATAAAGGAAGCACATCGACATATTATCAGTGAGTGAGAGAGAGAGAGAGAGAGAGAGAGAGATGAGAGAGACTGACAGCAATGGGTTCTCTTGGATCGATAAATTCCACAGAAGCAGCACCCATTGGTGAAGAAATCTCTCCAGTGATAGTCGGCTGGCAGCAATAACAAATACAACTCTTAATTCTATGCACAAAAAGACACTCCAAATTCGAACAAGACCATACTACTTAATCTTTCAGAGTATATTTATAATATAAATTGGTCAACAAAGTTTTTTTCCACAACTATTTACATGTAAAACAACACATATTTCTGTTAAAGTAAATCCTCACCAGCCAGTCTCTTGATGCCTCGTAAATGAGAAACCTCCCGAGCTCGGCCATAGCATTCCCTAAAAAACAGCTGAATTATATATAATACAACGGTAAAGCTTTAAAATGATATGACAAAACTATGAAGCAAACAGCATTATTACAGCCACCTTTCGAAAAGATATGACATTTATTCTTCTGTAAACTTGGTTCATTCGATCCAACACTGGTTTTTCCACTGTCGGATCACACATACACACGCACACACACCCATATGGGTGTGTTGTTACACACCCATATGATGAAATACATCCTATAACTTCAAGCCAACCCAATTTTTAACTTCACCAAACCATGTTTGGGAGCTAAGGAGAAAACATTCAAAACCCAATTTTCTTTACTACATTAATTCACACACACACACACAAAATTATTACAGAAAATTGAGCTTACTGAAGATGGGGCATGGCGTCTGCTCATTCCTAAGAACTGAAATCCAGTGCTTGATTAGTGGATGTGGCGGCACAAAAACCTGCAAATCAAATAAAAAAAACACTGCAAACTTCACATTCACATCAAAATTAAACCATCAAACTAAAAGAAAAAAGGAAGGAAAAAAAAACAATCAACATTCAGCCTTCATTATCAAGACGAAACAAAGAACTCCAAAATCACTCAAAAAGCACAAACAAAACAAAAAAAAAGAGACACGCACTGACCAACATTCTATCGCCGGACATAACTCTGTTCTCGGCGGTGGCCCGGCACTTCACGGAGGCGGCGCCTGCTCCACGAAGACCCAAACGCAAAACCTGCTGTAGGTCATTAAAGATTTGATTTTTTTTTCGAAATCAAACAATGAACCTTGAAAATAAACAAAGGGAAGCGAGCGAGCCTCGCGCGACGCGCTTCGAGTGTTGTACCTTGGGATTCGTACAATCGGTTGAGATGGGATTCTGTGCGGCGAGGTGTTGGGGAGGAGAGAGCACTGAGGAATCGAGAGGGTTTAGGAGGAAAGGTGAAGTATTTACGGCAAATGCCATTTTTTATAGCTAACAGAAAAGGAAAAAATAATTGCAAAATAATTGGAAAAACAATTGGGAGAAGAGAATTTGTGGAGGTTTGGGAGTGCAGAGAGAGTTCTGATGAAGGGAGACAAACTGTGAATGGATGGGATATGATGTTTCTACTCGTGAAACAAAGCTAACCGATTAATAGCAAAGTATATGTTCTCTTGATCTCATATTCGGTCGAGATTTGTAACCGTTATATTTGTTGGAAATTTTGTGTCAAAATTACACGGGAATCCTACGAACTGATATGTATTTTCAGTTCTTACAAATGATCTAAAAATAGAAAATTACAATTGGACTGAAAAATAA